GGCGGCCCCCGGCCCCCCACTTCTCACCTGCGTGACCCGAGGCAGCGTGCTAGACGCATCTTAGCCTTGGGCTTGTCGTCTGTGAACTGGAGAAAATAATCTCTGCCCAGAGCGGTGTGTTAGGGGAACACGAGATGCGACAGGACAGGTCCAGGCGCCAGCGCATCCTGCAGAGCTGCCGCTCAGTGGGGACTGTTCCCACTGGAACCCCGACGAGTCTGTCACCGGGAACTAGCCTTTACTGAGTGCCCCCTAAGTGCCAAAGCCAGCCCTGGGCTCAGGGGCTACCCCTGCTCCGCTACGCGACGACACACTTTTCCAGCCGAGACTAATTCTCGGCCCCGGAGATTTTACAAAGAACCCTCCGTGAGCTCCGCGGAGGCGGCCGGTGCACCTCATTTGTATATGCGGCAGAGAGAAAGTCGATAAATTGTTGCTGCTTTTGGTATACAGTATGTTTTATTGATTCCCCTACACCTTCTAGTTACTTTATGTAGCCTATTGAATGAAATCGCCACGAGAACCGTCTCAGGTAGGGGTTATTGTCTTTCACTTTAGGGATCAAAAAGCAGGCCGAGGGAGGGAAAGCAAGGTGCCCACGGTCTGTGGCCAGGAAGCAGGATCGAGGGCACAGAAGGGGCTCTCCAGCAAGGGTTCCAGTTGTGTTGAGGTCCCACCCTTTTCACAGCTGTAGTGAGTCCCTCTCCTGAATTGTCTCCACCCCAGCAGGGAGCTGGGGAGGGAGCTGGCAGAAGACAAGTCTGGCAGGCTAGTTGCCCCCTGGGCATCTCTCCTCACAATCAGAGCTAGGCACCCTGGCTTTGAAAACCTAATGTTTGTTTGTTTGTTTGTTTTATTTTAATCTCCAGCATTTTCCTATTTCTGGCTTCATAAATGTCTTTCTCTGTCTGGACATCAGGACCCTTGAGTAGTGAGGAGAACCAGGTTTCTTCCCCTGAAAAATTCATCAAAATAAAAGGGCTCTAGCAGTATTTTATTTTAATTTCCCAGGAATGAGCCTCTGTTCCCCTAAATTGACAAGGAGTTTGCAGCAACAATGATAAAACGGTGCTGGGTACAGGCCAACTGGCAGCCAAACCATCTGTCCACTCTGGCACCTAGGGGCTCAACGAATTTCAGGTTTGTTTCCAAAATGCAGGTCCTGCCCCTTGCTGGTACTTCTAGAAGGCACAGGTCATAATCTGGATTTACCAGTGCTGTATTTGAGATGCATATCAAGCCAACCATCCTCAGGTATGACTCAAGGGGAAAATGCACACATCTCCAGATAGCTTGTTGTTGTTTAACTTTCTCTGCTTTTCCACTTTGTTGAAGGAAGGAGAAAAAAAAAAGAATTGTGCATGTCCCTTGTGGCAGAGGGACTCCGAGGTTTTAGAAGGCCACGGCTAGGACTTCTTTACTTTTTAACTTTTCAGGACCATTTCTAATCACATTGAATTAGCCAGCGGGTGCAGGCTGGTTTTATCTTCTGAGATTCAGATAACGCCTGTTCGGTTATCCTGATCCAGCACAGTCTCAGCCCAGGCAGAGGTTTGGGGGGAAGGAAACATGGCATCAGAGAGGTGCTCTGGCAAGGGGGTCTGGGGGCCAAGTTTCCAAGACTCTAAGTGAGAGGGAGCCTCCAAGCCTTAGTCATTTCAGTACAGACACAATGTCTCTTCCTTCCAAGGCTCTGGTAACTGTGTAGCAAGCGCATGCTGTGCGCAAGGCCCTGAGCTGGGAGACTTCTATTTACCTCCTCACTTGCGCAAAAGTGGTTCAGATACAGGGAAAAGCAGCTGCAGCCTGGGAAGGGTCATGTGGGTCCATGGGTCTTGGCTCCAAGGCCTGAAGAGATCTCAGGCCTCTGTGCACTTGAAGCTCAGCTCCTCTCTCCCCTTCCCTGGACTGAGACGGTCATCAATAAAGTTTGAGATGTAATTACCCAGGGTATAATTTGGAGTGGGCGGAGACTTTTCTTTCTTCTCTCTCTCTCTCTTTCTTCTTTCCTTTTTAAACCAGGTGCAATGAACAAAAATGTGCTCCCTAAAAGGTCCACAGGCCAGGGGTGTGCAAACTTGGAACCCTGAGTTTCTGAGATTTGCAGGAGGGAGGCATTAGATGTTATCGTGCCTTGTCTTCCCTTCTCCTCCCCCTGGAAGGCAAACACTGGCACCCAAGCTCCCATAACAAACACAGGCTCCGACGCACACACACCACGCGCGCATGTGGGGGAAGTTCCTCAGTGCCCGGGTTTTCTTCTGGAGTGGAAGGCACCAGGGCCGCTGGCTTCATCTGTCCCGTCGGAACTGTTTGGGAGGGGGCACCCCCTGGCCACCTCTGGGCTCGCCCGGCCTCTCTTCTTCCAGGGGATTTACGGTGGCAGCGGACGCCCTTGGGCGCCTACGGTGCGAAACAGTCCCCTAAGCGCCCAGCGTGTCTTATTTCCTTTAGCGAGGGAGGCTGGCGCGTGTTCAGGGCCGACCCCTTACAGCTGCAAAGTTAGCACAGCCTCGGCGCATAGTAGGCGCTTCGTGCGTGTCTTCGCAGGATCGGAGGCGGCCTCTCCACGCGTTCCGCGGGTGCGGGGAGGGGTGTGCCGCGGGCGCGGGGCAGCTTTTCAAAAGAGGGGTCAAAAGAGAGAAGAAATGGGACTCGGAGAACTTCCTTTTTAAATAATCGGCCTTAATTACGCCTTGGACTTTTCAGTTTTGGCGTGATTATAACCCTTGAGGGATCGTCTAATAACAACTCTGCTGACTGCTCCTGTAATTAACTCCTAATTTATTTCAAACAGGGGGGGAGGGGGGAGGCCCCAGCCTCTGCCGGAAGAGCCAATGAGAGGCGAGCGCCCGTGACGTCAGCGCCAGGGCCGGCGCGGATTGGCTGGCCCGCGTCTCCTACTTCCCCTCGGAGGAAAGGCTCGGCTCCCGGCGCGCCCCTCCCGTCTCCCCCCCAAAAAGTTTGAGTCGCCGCCGCCGGGCTGCCAGCCGAGTCGCGCGCCGGGAGCTCAGGGGGCAGAGGAGTCATGGCTTCTCCGTCCAAAGGCAATGACCTGTTTTCGTCTGATGAGGAGGGCCCCGCGAGGGT